TGACCCCCTTCTGCACGAGGCCGCGGTCCGCGGCCGTCGACCACCTGTCACCGTTTCTTCCTGTGCCTGCGGCGGCCGGTAGTTCTTCGGCTGCGGCGGCAACGTCGATGGGTGCTGCTGGTGCATGCACCTTGAGTGCGGCCGGAGCAGGGATTTTGACTTCCCTGCGAAGGTTTTCTTCCCTTGCTCTGGCCCCAATCCGATAATTGGTGGCAATGACGAGGGCCGGGGTAATGACGGGGTCATCGTCTGCGGTTCCGGCATATCCGCCGCGGCGGGGCCATTGTTCCCGCCAGGGTTTGGTTTGTTGCTATTTGCTCCACCTCCACTTTTACGGCACCCTCTCCAGGACATACAAACGCGCTAAGTACACATCTCTCTTTTGCATATTTGACTTTTGGACCGGTTAGGTTTTCTTTGGGTAGTTGCTTCGATTCGATTTGATTCTCCTCCAATCGATTTGATCCAAGCGGCGATAACTATGAGTAGTGTACCATTGTTAGTACTGCTAGGATTGGTAGAATTACTATGATTGCTATCATGAGTGTAGGATTGCTTGCCTAGAATGTGTGCATGCTATGTAGGATTGACAGGATTGCTCGAGTAGAACGTGCATGATCAGTGTAGGACTATGTGTGCTTGCTACATGTGCATACTATGTGTTTGCTATGTGTGCATGTATAATGTGCACACTGATCAAGGCAATGTGATTGCTATGATGAGTGCATTGAACTAGGCAATGCACATTGCTATGATCGGTGCATTGATTATACCAATACCCATTGCTCAAATCATAGTCGTGGTCCTCTCTCCTTCTCCTCGCGTCGTCCCCGCGGGCGGCCGGGGGGGGCCCCAGATCCGCCGCCCCTCACCTCTCCCCCCTCCTCCACCCCTCCTCGTCGCCGCCGGCGCAGGTCGCCGGGCAAAGCCCGCTCGGCCTGAGCGGCGGCACGGTGCGAGCGTGGGGCGTGGCGGCGCGACAGCACGGGCTGGCGGCGGTGACTGTTGGGCGTGTGGCGTGGCGGCGCGACGGCACGGGCTGGCGCGGGCTGCAGGCTGCTGCTCGTGCGCAGGGACGACGGCCAGTGGTGGTGCGGGCGGGCTGGGCTTCGGCCAGATCCGGCCGGATCTGTGGCCGGGCGGCCAGCTGGTGACGTAGGGAGGTGGTGGGGGTCCTTCCGTGCTTCCTGGTGGGTGGATGGCGGCGGTGTGGGCTGTGCATCTCATCTCATGTGGTGCTGGCGGCGCGGGGTGGTGGTGGTTGCCTCCTTTTCCGGGGTTTGGATCAACGGAGGTCCAGATATAGGGTTCGTGCCTGGGCGAGCCAGCTCAGGGCCCGAGGCGGATCGGGGCTTGAGCTTGGGGTAGGAGAGGTCAGGCTTGGCCCGGGATGTGCTTGCGTGTGGTGCTCGTTCTCCTCTCGCGGGTATGGTGGTCGGGTCTCCGTTATCCTGTCGGGCAGATCGGCGCCGGTGACCACGGGTGAGGCTTCGCACGAGCGGGCTCGGCGGCGGCCATCGGTAGTCACGGGGTTGTGTTTCCCCAGTCCGCCGGGACTGGGTGGGGACGCAGGTGTGGATGCCCCCTACTGTGGGGGCATTGACCCAAATCTCGTGACTGATGCCGGGCTAGGAATGAAAGGAGACCCCTCTTTCCTCCTTCTGAGGTTGGTGTTCCATGATGCGGATGGATGGTGGCGGCTTGGACGTGGATGCCGGAGCGGCGGCTTCGGATGGCGGCCTGCATGGTTGGCTCTCCGGCGGGCACCATGTCGGTGGTGGTGGTTCTCCCTCTTGGCCGTGTGGGCGGCGAGAGGGTAGCGGTGGGTGGCTTGGGCGTTCTCCCTGTCTTTGGCAGTGGCGTTGCCTCGATCCGGACCTGGGATGCCGAACTTGCTGCTCCTGTCCTGAAGACCTCGTGGTGGCACGGGGGAGATGCCGAGTGAAAGCTTCGCGCTTTGTCGCCGACGATGGCGACGCTTGCGGGCGCCGTTATCTTCCTGAAGACGTCGTCCTGGCGCTCCTCTTCGTGCTAGATTTCCGGGTGAAGACCTTTGTCCTTTCTGGACTCGGCAACGGCAACGCTCTACGGCGTTCTCCCTCCTGGGGGCGTTGTCATGGAGCTTAGGTGTTTAGGACATTGCGTAGTGTCGTACTCGGTTTTCCCAATGCTTTCTTTTGGTAGCGTAGTCGTGTTCTGCGTGACCCGATTATCTTGGGATTGACATTGTATGAGAGCTAAGTCACCATCTTGTATCGTTCGGCCGTGTACTTGGTTCGGTGATTGCTTTATATATAAAGCGGGGAAAGCCTGTTTCGAGAGAATCATAGTTGTGCAATTCTCACCCGTGTGTTGTTAACTGTCAAGGTGATAAAGAAGGTGTGGGGTTGAGTCAGTGGTGGGTGAAGGCACGGAGGACATCGTCCCTGAAAACCATTGGTGAGCAAAGATTGCAGTGCCGGGGAGGAGGTAGGCAGTTGTGTGGAGGACATCATCCCTGAAGACCGTGGGCAAGCAAAGATCACAGTGCCGGGGAGGAGGGAGGCGGGTGCGATGCCTTTGCCGACGGTTGGCTGCAGGCCGAGGCTTGAGCAGGAGCCAACAGAACTAGTGTCGGTTCTATGTGCAGATCGTCAACAAAGACGATCTAGCCTTCCTCATCATCCCCAGGGCTTTCCAGCAGTGATGCGAAGGTGGATCTAGATCCGCCTTCTGTGACATCCCGGCTTAATAGGAATGATAGATTACTCATATCGAAAGGAACCTCAAAGTTAAGTGTGCTCAGCTTGGAGAAATTTAAGGATGGGTGATTGACTGGGAAGTTGTTGCGCACAAGTGAGGACAAATGCACATGAAAGACTAGTGTTGCTCTATGGGGCCAATCTAGATCCCGGGCGCAACGGTCAGGTACCGGTGGGTTTGGTCGGAGAGTTACAATTGGTATCAGAGC